TCAGGGTATAGACCAGTGGTTCTCAAACTTTTTCAGTCCCAGAGCCGCATTTCACACCTCAAAGTTATGAAGAGCCGCACACAAATAACGCACGGTAAAATAGCAACAAACCTTAAGCACGTATTTAAAATATCAAGTCATCGTAACAACAACACACGTAACAACTAGGGCTTGGACACCGAACTCGAGCGTCTCCAACTCAATCTTGGATTGTTGAGATTTTCCAACGGCGCTCGCTATCAGAAAAAAACGACAAATTTGAAAAGTCGTTGTCTTTGGGTATGGTGTTATATGCTATCTTTGCACTTAACGTATCGTTTCAATTCCATATTTTGCAAAAAAAAAACGTACCGACCGTTCCGTAAATTTAGAAACGTCAAACCAAATTGGGTATTTAAAATAAATTTCCCAGATTTTAAACTCCGCATGCTTGGTGATATGTCATTAGCCATTTCTTGCATTACCGAACATAAAGTTGATTAAAATTAAATGTTGAAATGACTTTTCGGCGTTTTATTGTGAAAAGGGCAATTTTGGGTCGTTAGAAAACTCTAGTTATATAAATATCATGGATTTAAAAATGACCAAAAGTTTTTCCAAAAGCTGGTATAAGTTACTTGTATGAAAAACACTCATTAAAAGTTGTAGTAACCATATAAGAAATGTCATGTGCTAATCCCTTTAAATCACTTTCTATCAGCTCGATCATGCATGGCCGTTGAACCAAGAGTAGAACGTAAAATCAATCGTGCATTTCGTTGTAACAATGCACACTGACTCGTTCACGAATTGTTGCGTCTATTATCATCGAAAATGATTACAATTGTTGAATTTTGAAGCATTTGGGTAGTAATAATTAAGCCTTAAGGCATGACATAATCAAAACCATTAAGTGAAGTGCTGAATTTGTAAATTCCGTAAAGAAAATTGAGCATTACTCAGTAAGTATTTTAGCTATAATAACCATCGGGGTGTTGTTTTGTTGAAAAAATAACGTTAAAACTTGAAGGAATTAGTTATAATTAGCGTCTGACCCTCTATTATGCCCAAAGGCCTTTATTGCCAATTTATTTAATCGCTGTTTTAAATCAACATTCAGGATTCGTCGTAAATTTGCTAGGTTTATCTATCTAATAATAAAATAACACGAACACCATGGAAAAGCATGAGAAACTCAATTATCATTTCAATAAATATCTGCATCTCGGTTACTGTTCACTTTAAACAGGCACGGTTAATCTCCAAGCGGTAATAAGGAAGGTCAAATCCAAGGCAGAGGATAAAACTCAGAATCAAATTAATTTGTTTTGAAATCAGCCCTTAATGTATTCAACAACTGTCGCTGATGGGAACGCAAGGGTATACTAAATACTAAAACAATCATTGAGTTATTTGATTTATACACAATATTCGGAAATGCGACAATAACTGAAAATCCACGAAAGCAAGCAAATGATTACAGCCATGTCTAAAATCTTTCCAAGTGAAAAGTGTCCGAGTGGTCGCGAAAACGCTTACTGTTGCGTCACTATTGCATATTAGTCAACACTACGCAAATAAACACGGGGGAATTCATTCGACTGACTAATAGACTTCTGCATTTTAATTTCAAGTCAATGGCTAGTTTTCAATGAAAAATTTTCTTTGAAAGTAATTAATTTTCAAACCATTAACAAGAGCCGCAGGAAAGGTTGTCGAGAGCTCTCAAACCCTAGTTTGAGAATCACTGGTATAGACCCATCAGAATCGAGAAAAACCTAGTTAGCGAAGCATCATTAGCTATTGCAGTATTGAGATATATTAGGTACGATATTTCAATAATCTTGCAAAACCGTTTATTTCAGCCAACTTAATGGACAGAACGTGGTTCCATATAGTAGGTGTCATGGTATTATAACCATTATCTCTACCGATCACATATAAATTTTACTTTTATTTCACAAGCTAGACCAAATACGACACCGTACCCACCTGGCTTCCAAAACTTGATTCTTCAACCTCTATGCATACACGTTTTGTGTTATCCTTTCCCAAGTTAATGGCTAAACCAACAACAATAGCGTGAAAATCCATTTCAACGCACAGAACGATGAATTTCCTCAAATTATCTTACATTTTGCACGTCAATTTTTGTTAAGACAATTTTCGAATTTATTTTACATAACATGGATGTGATAGACTTTTTATAAAAATTGAAGGTAATTTTTAAAGGTAGATGAGGTACCTCAAACAACGAACATCAAAGTCTAAAAAAAGATGACAATGTGTATGTTCGCAAAAATGATATTGAAGAAAATTATGCAAGAACAGAAAATTTCAAATGTCCAGTAGTTGCAGAAAAACTCATTTACCAACAAAATCATTGCAGAATTTGTGGCACCATCTCTTGCATCCATCACATTCGATTTACAAAAAAATTCACATTTTACTTACAAACCAACTAAAACTGTATTCACAAGAAAGAATGTGCCAACTTGCCCAAAGTGTCACCATCATGGGCAGTCTTGCCATTACAGCCTACACAAAAAGAGCATTGAGATGAGAATCATTTATTTCGACGCACAAATCTTCAAAGTTTTTAGACTTAAAGTACGTACCTGTCATCTCGTTGTTTCAGTTTGTAAAAGGTAATTCAGTTTCTAAACATATAGGGCGCGAGACGAGGCCGTCGTTTATTTTTCAGTTTCGTAGCGCACATAAGGGAATTACCTGAAAATGATTTTAAAATGTTCCTTAGAAATTTAGTAACAAATATTGCCTTGTTCCCACTTCCAAAAGTTGCACGTTTTACGAAAAAGGCGCTTTTACTACAATAAATATGTGTTACCATCTGACCTAAATTCTCTGCTTTTCCGGTATCATGGGCCAATGAACGCAGACTTCTGCATGACGTAACAATTGATTGGTCAGCTGTAGGTGGATCCCCGTGGTCGGATGAATATCAGATGTACTACTGCTCGCTTTTGCGTTGAGTTGAGTAGCCTTCCCATAGTCTTTTTTAGTTAATATTAGTCATTAAACACTTGTATCTTCTTACCATAAATAGCAATTTTAGTTAAGCACTCGCCCATAAAACGTCGTTAAATAGGTAGACTACGGTAACTTCATGGAAGGCTAGACCTAGAAATTATGTTACAAACAACGATATTTTCTTGCTTGTATGAAAGATGATTAATTTAATGACGATTCTTGACAATTCAGCAGACTTATACTACTATATAGGCTACGGCATATTTGATTCAGAAGATAATGACTATTTCTGTAATGCACGTTTGTGTGAAAAATAGGGGAAAATAATCAATTTTACTCATCTCAGTTGGTCTAAATTCATAGAGCCGACAAGAACCTGGGAAGCAATGATAAGTTATGCCTGAGTTGAAAGAAAATAGCATTGGAAACGATTGAGAGATGAGAAATCAAGTTGTAGACCGACAGTTGATGTTTTAAAATATAGTCTATGTAGACCATAGGGCATTTCAGACTGTGTTATTTTCGAAATTCAGTGTAGACTGTAGATATAGTCTAGTATGCAAACACTGCAGGACTGTAGTACATCCAATGAGCCAAGCTCATTGAGTACATCAGATAATATGCATTATGTATGAAAAGTATTGGTCGGTATTTAGTGGTATTTTACACTCCTGTTGTTCCAAATATGATTTTCTTCTTCATTTTAGATACTGTACTACAAAAGAAAATGACATTGTTTCACCAATCCAGCCTAACGCAGGCTCTAATGACTAAGGGGTCGGCAACCTTTTTTATCGCTCGCGGGCCAAAATTAAAGGTTGCAAGTCATTGGTGGGCTGCACATATTTTTAGAAAGTTAAAAACCGAATGGATGGCCGATGAATCACACTTTTCACACAGATCAGAAGTTAAATTTTGAGCAGCACGCGAAGACTAACTATTAGAGTATTTTCTGCACCATTAAACCATTTTCACTTAGCATCAACTCTTCTGCGTTTTGTTGTCATTTGTCCAATTATATTTAAATTATAGGCTCATTAAACGCGTGATTGTGAATTATATACTTGTTAGGTTATAATATAATTTTGACTGCACGTGTCCCAAAATAAATTTTGTTACGTAAAGAATATAATTGTCATAACAGCTGTTTTGTTACCATAATTCAGTGGAGCGTCGCGGGCCGGATTATATTGCTCCGCGGGCCGTAGGTTGCCGACCCCTGCGTAAAATCCCTGCTGCTATCAGCGCTATAAAATGAATCGAACAAGAAGTCTTGAAGCGGAAAGGTATATGAAAAACATAACATTTGCAAACAGCTTAGATGGGCTATTCATAATGAAATACTTTGACACTTTTCGGCAATTGAAACTGCCCATCAACATGATGTTGGAGAACTTCATTGAGTTTTTTAATTCATTTTTCTTTTCTCAACTATGAAGATCTTTTGAGGTTAACATGACGATAATAAATAAAACTGAGGAATTTGTTTGTGTACTGTATGGAAAGGATATGAAGAATGTAAATGATACCACGACACGTCCTTTTAACACTGGCAAACATGTGGATTATACTCTTCCACTCAACAATGATTCACTAAAGAGCATGCTCTGAGGGCAAATTACCAGGCAGGACTTCATCACTGTTGCCTACAACCACGGCCAAACTGCAACAAGCTTGTACCACAACTCAGTCAAAATTTAGTTGGACAAAGTTAGTTGCTGAGAGGGCGCTGTCTATAAACAGAGGTAAAACAGAGTCCTTTATTTTCTTATACCACCATACTGGTTTTGACTAAAAATCTTAAATTAAATTGGGGTTGGCAAGTTTCCTCATATTGATTTTACAAAATATCTGAATTATAGCATCGTTATATTGGGTTATCTGATTTATAGGTAAGCTAATATGTACTATTCTCAGCAACTGCGTTGCTTCATAATATATATATATATATGATGCTAGGACGACTTTTTGCTGACTGGGCACAGCTGCTGTCCTGAATATAGAACACAAAATTACAGTCAATACCGTTATACAATACAGCAAAAAATATTTATTTAAGCAAAATGGCAGCATCGGTTTAAATTCCCATATATTGATTATTTAGCACATAGTATACTATTTCGACAATAAAGCTATATGATCACTGATGTTATGCCTAACCGGCATTTCAAAGACAAAGCAGCTATAGTTACGACTTTGCAGAAATGTTTTAGTCAGTGCATTGGACTTTCTAGCAACTAAGTGCAAAAAACATTAGAAAAATACATACTCCTCTATTATAAACTTCTGAAAAGGCACTCAGGCTTTGAAAAATTCAAGAAAGTATAATTACAGAAAGATAAATTCAGAAAAACCTCAGTCCCGGCCGACAAATTTGCAATTTCGGTACAGTGTACAAAAATATTTAACCAAGCCTCTGATTATAAAATATCGTGTTTAAAATTCAAAACACACACATTCTACAAATAAAAATTAAACTGTAATGAAGCACTAAAGTAGTATGCTTATTCCCAACGTATTAGTTCTTTTGGTGGAAGAAACAAAATATGTTATTTATGATTATATATGTCAGTGTTCGGCAAAGACAACAGAAGTCAATGAGGTTGGGGGATGGTTGGTCAGGACTTCCATTTTAAGACATGATCTGGTACGCATTATTGGATGATTCCATTTTGACTTTATCTTCCCCGGAGCTTTTCCAGAAGACAGGGAACGATAATTTGGTAACAGCCCAGACAGGGCGGTTGCGTATTCTGGAGTGCAAAAGGAAGAATAAAAATTTAACAACAATATCACCAAAATACTTCAAAGTTTCTATATAACAATATAAATACTTTTATTTTCCCCCAATTGCGTTTTTACACTCCATACTATTCAACCGCCCCGTTTCCCCAGGGTTTTAATATTCGCCTGTGGCGCGTGCCAAATTAAGATAGAGGCTATATAAACTCAAAATCAGACCAATAAGATATGTTAGGCGAGTTATAATTCTCACAAAACGAAGTTAGGTGCTAAGTGTGTTTCAATAGTTCCTCTGTGGCATGTTTTGCTTTTGTTTGCCACAGGATAAATTGTATTTTCACATAACGTTGTAACGGTTGCTGTCGCTCGTTTGTAGATCTATGGTGTCTTCTTTTGATTTCCAAAACTGAGGGAAAGAATACTTGAGAAGCGAGGGCGAGTTCCGTCTAACCCTGTATCGAGGCGGTTGAAAATACAAGAGCCCAATTAACTTATATAATTATCAACTAATATAATTATTGATAGTAATAATACTTACGTTACAAATACAACAACGCCGATTACAATGATGAGGACTAAAACAACGATGATTATTGCAGCGATCGCACCACTGCTCAATCCCTTGTTTTCTTGCTTGGCAGTTCCACCGACATTTTCCACGTTTTTGTCTAAACGCGACAGTTAATAATATTAATTTAATGCACCTGGGTACAATAACATATGCGTGAATATATGTACACACTGTATATATATTTTAAAAAATAATGAACTAGCGAGGTCATGCAAAAGCAAAACATGCATTGGAACATATAAAGCCGTTGTTTTTTTCGTTGTTTTTGTGAGGCGGTGTGCGGGGTTATTGTGTCTGCAGAAAATGGTGTAAGCTCTCCCATGATATTTACCAGTTGAGGCAGGCTTCGTAAGTGCAGTTGTATCGGGCGACTTGTCATTTTTCAGCGTAGTCGTTGTGAGTTTAGTTGTAGTGGTGGATTTTGCAGTGGGCTTTGGTGTCGTAGTGGTCGTTTGTTGGGAGGTTGTGGCCTTCGTAGATGAGGTTGTCGCAGCAGGTGTTGTTGTAGTGGTAGTTGTTGTAGTGGTAGTTGTTGTTACCGGAGTCGTAGTAGTGGTGGTAGTCGTTGGTGTTGTTGTTGTAGGAGTGGTAGTAGACGATGTTGTAGTAGCTGTTACAACGTGTACAACACAGAGAATCATGCGCAAGGAATGTCGAAAAATAATAGCAATGAATAAAATACGTCAAACAAAATTCCGAATTTGTTTAAGGTATATTTCAAATGACGGCAAGGGTATTAATATTAAAACAATATAGAATTTTGAAAAATAAATGAAAACTTCCATGATTTTCTGTGTTGGAACGTTGATAAATTGAGCATGCAAGAAGACACCAATGAAATGAAAACCACACCACATGCCGTCATTTGATTTGTGTTCATTGTGAATAAAATTACTATTAGTAAAACAACTACATGTTTCCACACGACAATCTTTACAAACCACCGAATATTTGGATAAAACATTAAAGTCAACACACCAGTCGTTGTTGTTGAACGCGTGGTTACTTTTGTGGACGTTGTCTGTGTGGCGGTGGTTGTCCTTTTCGTAGTGGAGGCGGGTGTAGAAGTTTTTGTGGTTGTTGATGTTCCTTCTATTGGTTTCAACAAATTTGATGAATGCATTAATGTTTCGTTGAACACGTTTAGAAGTTGGTGTTTTCGTATTGATAATAGCCCCCATTCAACCCAGCATATTTAAAAGTATCTATAAAGGGTCTCAATCCCTCTAACGGTCGACATTAAGCAGCCGCACTTCAATTATATATATTGAAGTTTGTTGATGGAATGCGAAGTTTGTAATGAAAGGAATGAAGTATGAACAAGCTATGGGAACATAAATTGTGTTAAACTTAAAAAAATAAAATACGACAAAAATGATAAATATCTAAGCTCCGAGATTTTATCGGGACATTGTATATTGACAACCATGCGTAAAAATCAAAAACCCAATCTCACACTGTACGCAATCAACCATAACAATATGACAACAAACTGTTTGATAGGTGTTGGTGGAAGAACTTACTCGTTGTTGATGACGTGGCCGCGGGAGGTGGCCTGCAATCTGAGTTATGCGTCATTCTGCTATTCCATTTGAGACTCTTTTCGCATACAACCTCATATACAGGCTCAGTTTTGTAATATCCCGTACTGTCGCTTACCCAAACGACATACCCTTCAGTGATACAAGTGACGTTGAAAACAGAGCCCATCCGATTTCGGCATGTAGGTTCGCTTCGCCTCATTCCTGGCCTAGCGTTGGGAACCGGTGGACATTGGTTGTCTGTTTGGAAAATAATAAGCAATAATTTTTTGATATATTGTTTCAGTGCGCTAGTCTATTTTGTTTTCATTATGATATACCTTTTACATTGACGGTAAATCGACAGTACCCCACGTTTCCACTTTTGTCTCTGGCGGTATAGCTAAATGTCTGTATTCCTGCCGCTAATGAAGCCGGGGATCTCATAGTTGGTACCTGAATATCCAAGTTGCTGACAGCTGCAAAGAAATTAGGAGATTATATATAACAACTGATGAAATTGAATCATGAAAAAATACTGCGAGTATCAAACTCACCTGTTTTGTCGTCTTTCCATGTTGGTGTCGTCCACGAATAGCTGGCTGTTGAAGCACATGATGGAAGTGAAATTTCTGCATCGTCTGGACAGTTTTGTGCAACAGGGGGGCTGATATCTGCGAAATGACAAAACCAGTAAGTCAAACAAATTCTGACACGTTTGAACACGCTTTATTAGAAAACAATACTGCTCTTGTTCTAAATAACTGGATCAGATATTGCTATGAGCAGGGGCACAAACAAAATATGGCCATACAAGGTTTATTACCCCAACTATGGAAACTGTAATTAGACTACTTACCAACATCCGCTTTTCCGGCGTCATCTATACAAATGTTTCCTAGCGCGAGTTTGCCGTCCCGGCATAAACACTTTTTGGCTGTATCTGAAATCGGTACACACATTTCTCTACAGTAATCACCATCGCACGGATTCTTTTGTGGTTCTGCAATGTAGCGAGTTATATTTATTACATTCTACTCCACACGTAGCTAAATTTAATTTTATTAAAAATGGCCGAATGAGTCTGGAATCGTGGATTGTAATATGGTTAAACGAAGGTTTTGTAGCCCTACATTGATGTTTTAATTTTTACTATAGGCCCTACCGTAAAATAAAACTATTTGTTGTATACAGACCAATCAATTGTTTGAAATTTTTGATAACTCATTGTAATCAACAACTGCTTTTAAAATTCAACAAAGATTGCTTATTGGTGTAAATTCAGAAAGAACATAGGAACCCATAAATTTAATAGGCGACGCTCCGGCATTCTCTATTTCGAGTCCAGTATTCGCCAAAGCATTTGATTCAAATTAAGTCTGTCATCACCCACTACTAAAGACCGCATTTGGCCTCCTCGTGCTGAGTGAAAACATTATTCAATTATACAATTTTGCTTACTGATGAATTTCGCATAAAAACTGTTGCTGTATATAGAGAGTGTTGTAACTCGGAAAAATTCTGCTGGTCCATAGGGTGCCATTGAAGGTGCTCCTTCAGTAAGATTAAACCTCTCAAGACGACTACTCTTTCCGTCCACGACGTAGGCCATGCCTTGATGTATTTTCAAACTAAAAAATAGATTTTTGCGTGATGTTGCTAGAAAGCTCATCAAAAGTCCTTTGGTTTACTCTGTAAAATTAATTCTCAAATTGTACCGGCGCAAAAGATTGCTCTTACCGAGAAAAGTTGAAACAATTTTTTTATTATTATGTCAGCCCGAAAACAAAGCTTCCCTATCAATCATTATATCGAGAGGAACGTTGCTGTGGGACCTTTGTATATATATATACGGGGAGAGTGTGACAAGACGTTAGAAATTCGGAAGAAAACAGAGACATGTTATTGCGGTAGGAATCTTTTTGAATAGAATGTTTGAAATACTTTTGTATTACATATTATTAAATCTAGGTTTACATATTATTAAATCGAACCCCATATATATACGAACACATAATTTGACAACAGTATCTACTTTTTTGCAATATAATAAATTTGTTCCAAGATTAGTAACAACGTTCAATCAGCTTGCATTTGCGATGTGTTGAAAATTCATTCTAGATCAAAATTTAAAAGGTAACTTACTCGATTATGTAGGGGCTGATCCTAGTGATATAAGCTGAAATATCATATTGTTTGTATTTCTTCTGCTTGGGTGACGTGTCGTTAATTTTCAATAATGCTAAGAGGTCAAGTTCGTATATAATGGCGCTCTTAGCTTCAGCCACATACAAAAGATCCGCTGGAAATGACAAATATCCGATATTTAAAATTATGTATCAACCACAACTGCCTGGTAACAATGTTGAGGCAGATAGACTGATGCGAAGTTAAGAAATGAATTATTCGGAATAAATGTAGCAGATTATAAAATTTTATGTGTGGCTCTGGTAGGCTACTACACATTTTATTCACGCAATTGTCGATTGAAAATATAGATAGCCCTTCTCGTTAAAAATATACATACTTTTGTAATCGATTGTAATAGCATGAGGCCAATTAAGCTTATCCAACACAATTTCTTTTCCACTTCCATCGTATCTACAACGCAATACCTGACCTTCTCCTTCTTTGGAGAATGTATCCGTCCAGTAGATATATCTGCAAAAAAGTATAAGATTGAACTACTTGCCTGTTAAGCCACAGTGTATAAGGTGAACAGCAAAGAAAATCAACACAGAACGTTTTTAAAACTTACTTGTATTTTATATCTTGTGTTATCATTCTTATGCTTGTGGTGTTGGTCTTTCCTGGTTCAGGCTTAACGATTGTTCTACTAGAGGTGCCCTCTTTATTGGACACAATGATCGTGTCTCTTTCATTGTCAGCGTAAAATAGGTTACCGGTTTGCGGGTCCACAATCATGCTGTTGGCTGTAATGTGGGGTATATTAGTATTTATCATTTACTCTCTCGAATCCCCGAATCGAACTCAACAATACCAAGGTATTTAAGTGAGAGAGAAATAAAGTATGTTTGAGGACTATCAACTATCTTAAAAATGTATCAAATATAACCAGGTAGAGAAAGGCCTAGTGGTTGCAAAAATGTACCATGGAATGTCATATTTCATCACTGCCAATATTTACTTGAATCCAACAAAGAATCATCTTAAATTTTTTTGGATTAAGCACGAAGTGATTCAAGAATTTTTTTTTTGTTGAATCATACCATAAGAAGAAGCTATTTGCGTGTATCGACTTCCATCTACTGATGCTCTGCTGACAGTTGATTTTTTCTTGTCTGACCAGTACAGATACTTTGAGTTAAGGTCGACGGCAACGGTTACTGCTTTCCATTTGTGACCTTAACGAAAATGATTTTGTTAATGCTACTTCTCGAAGCCGTGCCCGAGGTTGCATGAAATTTGACGTTTCTCGGGTTAAATTCAATAAAACAACAACTTTCTTCCTTCTTAAAAGAACATTTTATGTGTCCGATTATATTCATTAGACAACCTACCGAGTGGAACAATGCTGTATTGCAGAGTTGCGTTGTTTGTAGAATCTGTGATTGGTATTTGGAATACTTTTCCTTGTCCCGCATCGGCGACAAGCAAGTAGTCATCTTCCACAAGAACTGTAAAAAACAGCATTAGTGAGAAATGATCTTTTGGAAACAGATAGCTCTTTAAAGGATAATTTAATGAACTTACGTGGTTGGCATTTCTGCGTCACAGGATTCAAATGATATCCGAGTGAGCATGCACATGATCTCGTGGCGTTAATTCTTGGGAGACAAAGATGTCCACAATCGCTTCCTCCACATTCTCCTGAAGAAGGTTCTGAAAAAAAAATGGGAATAAAAAGCAGCTAAACGACCAGAGCCAACTGATGTCTAATAAATTGTCGTGAACGTTTCTCAAAGCACCTTATATTAGTTACTCGGTTCGAACAACAACTGTAACCAAACTCATACCTGTGTCAAGCGAAAATTCTTCATTGTGACTAAAAACTGCAATTCCTCTGGGCTTTCCGCTCAATGTGTAACGGAAAACTTGCTTTCTTCTCTTAGTTATTATCCAGACTGAATAGAATCGTGCACCTGTCATGCTGTACCTTGCATGGACATCGGAGACGTAGAGATAGTCCTGAAAAATAACAAAAAATGACATAAGACATAACGTACTAAAGGTTTAAAAATCTGAAGCGAGATTGTTTTTTCAACAGTCTGCGGGACTATAAATAAAATTACCATGTACGCTGCGACACCCCAGAAAATTGAACCTCCCCTGTAGTGATGTTGAGTTTTGTTAGTTCCATCTAGAAGAGAGCTCATCACCATACCTCCATAGCCAGTGAAGTCCGTCCAGTAAAGCCTGTGCATCGTTAATTTTTAATTAATTATTATCCACGAAAAACTAACATTTTAATATAGAGAAAATTTTTTTTTATTGCATTAGTTTATAAGAGTATAACTGAGTATGTTTTACTGCAATGTGATAATGCTGTTAAAATTCTGTAATTGAAATTGAGCAGACCTTTATCAGACAGCGAAAAAAAAAATGGATAAACAGATTATATTATAAACAATAATATTATTCCGTAAACTCGAGAAAAACTGACCAAGTGGTGAAACGCGTGATAAACAAAATTCTTTCTTGACCGCTAATCTCTCAACGGTTACGGGCCTCAGAACAATAGCTTCATATAAACAATAAGATTATTCAAGATGAAGACTTGATATAAAAACACGAACTGAAAATCAGTTAACCATATTTTGTGATCGTGAAATATTTGGAAAGGATATCAAACTGTTTCCGTATTCCCGTGCATCCCGTATTACAAAAGTAATTCTTGAACGTGAAATAACAGTTTGTATTTTTAAGAAAAACACACGCTATCAGGTCACGTAGCGATTACTTAATATTCGGCGGCTGACGCAATAAAAAGTCACATGATTTCATTCAAATTTTATCTCAAGTGCACTAAGTTTACTTCCGCTAATTCCTGCCACATAAATTGCAATCGAATAACCAGGTATCCGACTACTTTCATTGTAAATGAATGTTTTGAAAACCAAGATGTGGAACTGCGCATTCTGCATTGTGATATAGAGGGAGTTTTAGTTATAATCGTCGAATAGTTTTAAAAGTTTAGTTAGCAAAACTGTCTGGTAGTAGGGAAAGTAATAGTCAGAAATGACATGATGCTGTTGAAAACCAAAAATACACGCTTATGTTTCGATTAGTTTCAAGATATGACAAAGAAAGTTTCGCTTCATTTTGCGGAAAACCACTTTTCGAATGAGTTTTATTGATTCTCAAAGTTTTATCTCTCCATTTTACCAAAAATATACACTTATGTTTCGATTAGTTTTAAGACATGACGAAGAAAGTTTCGCTTTATTTTGCGAGAAACGACTTTTCGAATGAGTTTTATTGATTCTCAAAGTTTTATCCTAAATTTACAATGACATTCTACACATAATGATTCCTCGGACGCGAGGGTAAAACGTTCTAACAATAGCAAGCGGTTGAATGTGAGCAAGTGAATCACTTGAAACAAAACACATTTCTCTGCATAATATGTCCTATGATTTTTCTCAAGCTAAAATCATAGCATACCTGTCATCTGTGTAATCAATGGTGATTCCAGTCACGTCGAAAACGTTTGGAAACTTGAAAAGAGTTTTCGGACTTTTTCCTGCCAAGTCTGTGACGATGATTTTAGATCCTAATGCTTTATATGTGGAAAATATCAACAGTCTGAAAAAAAATATTATTGAAACTTTTCAATAATTCTGATGATATAAAAACTTGGAATTGCCAAGAGTTTTGACAAAACAATTGATCAGTCCATTGAAAAATTGAAGCGATTTTGCCACAATAGAAATTTTATAGACATGTATGTAACTTTCAAACGATTTAAGAATAATTATACCTGTTTTTAGGTAGTGATAACTATCTGACTACATTGGTACAACCCCTCGGGCGTGTTTTAAATTCATTTCGAAAGTTTAGTATCGACGCTCTTCGGTCTATAAGCTAGTATTATTTAGCAGATTTCAGATAAACTTTTTACAAAGCAGCACTACAACAATGAAACATACCGTTTTACTGAATGTACTGCAAGCCCATATGCTGGATCTGGAGCTGTCCTGTAAACCGGGGTGTAATAGTTAAATGTGTTTTCCGCAGCCATTACCCATTTAAACTCGGAATCCGTCCAATATAAATTATCTGTTTTCCAATCATAAGCTATACATTCAACTCCATGTGCCATTCCTTCGAAATATCTCTCGCCCTTTTTCTCTGTCATACTCCACACACCAATGTATTCAGACCTAAAGTATTTGAAAAAACAAATGAGGTCGTGACTTTACAAACATTTGCTACCGCACTTATGAAGGCCTTTTACGCGATAATCAATGCTAAATACTTTTGTACATTAATATGATTAGCACAAGTATATGATATGTTATGTCCTCCCAAACGATTTTTTTTCGTTATCGTTTTCTTATCCTGAATTTCATCTAGAAACCAAATATTTCTCTCTCTAAGGCGGATATTGTAGCAAGTACGTGTCTTTGAATGTGTCAAATTGCCTTGACACACATCTATGCTTTTACTTTACCTGTAGTCTGTAAAATATAATCTTTTTTTATTGTAATCCGCTGCAAGTGCCCAGTACTCTGTCATTGAACGGTTTGACCCGGTGAGAACAGTAACATTGAAAGACCCACCATTATCGGTCTCCTGCTTGACAATCTCAGGATCGGCCTAAATTTATTGAAGCGTTAAATTGACGTATATTTAGTATAGTTCAATAAATACAATAAAAGTTCATTCAAATAAACTTTGCATTACGCACCTGAACACGTAATAAGTGGGTACTTTCGGATGCGGCATCATAATTTGTCCAGATAACAAGTGAATCATCGGCTGTAAAAATATGAAGAAATTTTATATCGTATTTTGAAAATAGTTAATGAAAATCAACACGAAACATGCTAATTTATGACATCACCAAATAATTGATATGTTCCTAATTAAGTGCTAATATTTTTAACACAATTTTACAGTGTTAGATAATACGAGCCGAAATGTCGAATTCAAAATTGAAGTAAAGTGAAATTAAAAGAATAAAGAAACACAATAAATTATTGTGTCTGTCCCCACAATATTAAAAGTTATTATCAAAAAATTGTGTTCAAGAAACATTAAAGAAAACATTATAAATAAACGGATAAGACATTGCCAATAAAAATAAATTTACTCCACTTTGTTCTAGATTTACGTCTTTCTTATTAATATTCTACGTATGAAATAGGATCGAAAGAGGTTATGAAGTAATGTTTAATAAACAGAAAGATATAATCTGCAATAGCTTACGGCATTTTGAAATATTGCAATATTCCCATCGAGTTTTGTTATTTATAGTGTAGCACCATGTTCCTCTCAAATCGTTATCTGGATTTCTAAAAGAAAAATTCAAGGATTAATTCCAAGCAATTAAAATCTTCATTATTCGGTTAATTTATCTGATGGGATACTTTTAGAAATCTCTACATTTTATAGTGTTAGAATAGTTCAATAGCCACACTTCCACAGAGTTTTAATCAAACTTAAGGCATTTGCTTTTTTCCTTCCTCAATCATAACTTTATTTAAACAATAATAATTTTGAGAAATATTTGCTTACGATGTCACCGAAACTGTATTATTAACACGGAATTTATATATTTCATAATATTACAATGTATCTATTACCTAAACTGTTATTATTTGAAAGACAATAGGATCATGTGACGAACTAAAGCGATTCTGATTCCCGTGTATTTTCTGATATGAATTACGTACGTTATTGTTTATGCCAAAATATAAAAATAGAATCTTTGTATTCAGATTTTTTTCCGATTTAGCGTACTTCTACATCAGCATATTTTGCCCGTTCCGTTATTGAAATAATCTTTCGGGACAAGTACACAATAAGACGACCCATTCATTACTCACAAAATGCTGATATATTTTTAGATAGATAGATATCAACTTTCTGTCCGTATATCTCAGCTTTTCAAGGTTTATGAAATTCTGCAATACTTATATTATTTTTCTCTGAAACAATTCACGTCTATATTCAACAATCAACATTCAATTATCAATCTTAAAATACTGAAAAGTGGTATGGGAGGATAATATATACATTTATTTCTTAGTTTATTCTGTATGATAATTCAATACTATATGACTTCAAAAACGGGGGTTAGGCATTGTTTTCATAGTTTATGTAGCTATTGTATATTAGGGTATAATAATAAAGCGATATAGTTACCTGCAATAATTGTGGTGTCCACCATCTTTCGGCACGTGTTTTGGTTTGTGTGGCTTATCAGTATCCCATCGCTGACACGTCGTTCCGGAACCTGTCACATCTCGCGTCCCTCTGTACCATGTACTTGGGCCGTCGATGCAATCATCTAAGCACAAAAATCAGTGATAGCTTCAATATGGGGATGACGCTGTCCATGGGCGTTTATGCGCAAATAAATCGAATATATCGCTTAGAATTCGAAATTTTGTCACACTTGTTCAGGTTCGCCATATCATTTACTTCGTAAGTTTAATATTAATACTATATTTTCAAAAAGCGCTTTGTTTCGTTTCCAGTTTTATTTTTTTGAATTCATTGAGTACTTTTATATACGTCATTTTTGGGTTACCATGATGCTTCATCGATTGACATCATAATAAAACAAATCATATAATCATATAAAAATCAATCATAATAAAACAGTTACAAATAAATAGAAAATTTGTTTTCTTTCTATTTGTATTCAATTAAAAAAACATTTTTAAATCAGGTCAATTCAATCAAAAAATACTAATTGCACTTTCTTATTATATATATGTTGTTCGTATTCTGAAGTTTAGATCACTTACAGCTTTGCACGTAACAAATCTGTATAACATTTTCTCATTGAACAGAAATTAGTTGATGGTATTCGTTATTTCCAATCTTTCGCGTAAGCTATAAATGTTGGCCATAATATTATGGTTAATAAAGTAATTGATGATTGACGATACTTAATCCATTAGTATTTATTATGGGCCAAAGGTCGATGACGAGTTAGCGATTTGTTGGAGAAAGTATCAATTAATTTATTGAAAGATAGAGTGCTCGCGCTATATTAACGATAAAAAGAACATTCGATAAAACTCCCATTTAGTGACATCAGCGAAACCAAAATGGTATGTTCGATAATACATAGTTCATATACGGGATAATTCATAGGGTTTTTAGGTGGCCAAGTTTCAACAAAGTGAAATCAAATTGCAATATGCTTTGCTCGCAGTTGCCGCTCTCGCTCGAATCCGTATGGAGAATTAAGAAACATCATTAGTCGATTCATACTTATAATCATCAGACGCAATATTCTCCGAATTTCGAATATGATTTTCGTGATACTGTTAAATTATTAATTTCATTATTGAATCATAAAGACGAGAAATATTGTGATAAATACCATATAGGTGACTTGCAATTATTTTCAAAGTTAATTTATAAGAAACGAAGAGCCGCGGGCTATGACAGAATTTCAGGAAATGGACATTTTTGGATTGAAACTTCAGGAAGCGCATTTACGCTTTCCATATATGATCTGTTAAATACTCTTCACTAAATTTTTAATTTTTTATTTTGTTGTCTGGAATAATTCTTATTATACTATGGTTTGTTCACTTGATTCCTACAGGTGTCGAAATAAGATTTTTCAAAAACTTTTTTTTAGTTTTATCAGCGATAACTCAAAAATCACAAATTTATGGAATTGTTACGAAATCTCGAAAAAAATGTCCAAAGACAATAAAAAAAATGGTCGAAATGCGATAGTTTAATCTTTTTTGCAATCTTTTATCGTCGATGGTGGGAAAATTGCCTTTCTATATATATAATGTATACGATTACAATAAGTAAAACGATAAGTTGAATTGCCAAATTAATTGTTCATTAAAGATCATATGAAAATCTGCAAAATCGTTGATAACATTTGTTGAATTTATTCCAAATTGTGTTAGAAAATAATCACTGATTATGGCTTCTTTTCATTACAAAATAATATTTACAATGCTCAAAGGTGACTTCGTATCTTTTCGTGACTTTAACCCTGTTATTTTGCTTTATTTATTTAACATTAAATCACGAATCTAAGCAAATTTTTGTAAAAATATCAAGAGTTAGTGTGGCGACAACACGGACGTAAAATTCGGAACATGAAAGATAGTTATTTGTTGCATATCTCTTGTCACGGAATTTGCTGGTTTGCCCCGCGGGCTATCACTGTGAGAGTTAGAATAAGGTTTCATTTATGTCTCGTTGGCAGGTAATTTTGGAATTTTGTCGACCAGACATCTAGTATATTGTACTTAAACATGCGTCATGCCAACACGTCATCGCATCAGCAGACCCCAAATTGCGTCCAACTGAATATTTTCACACTTGAAAACATCAAAATTGATATACGGTGTATCTTCACTTGTAAAATATTATGTCATAAAGCCAGCTTTTGAAATGCATAATCTCGACAATATGCCACGATCTGCTAAAGAAATGACGCGATATCGCGGGGTAAATTTCGAAAATCTTGGTAGTTTCGAGGAAATTTATGAAAAGAGCATTCTCGAATACGCATTGTTGTTGGGACATTCTCGATTCTTTGCACACAAATTACAGAATCGTATGCAAAGTTAATAATTTTACATTTTCTGTCACAAATTTAGGTAATGTACATAATAAAATTATAAGTTATGCAGAAAAACATTTCAAGTGATTACCTGTTGACGTTGTTGTAGAACCCTGTACCCGCACGCACGCCACGCAAAGGATGAGCAACGTGGCACCAATTACATAACGGTGATCCATTCCGCTGCGAAGCTCGAAGAATTTCAATAATTTTTATTTTCTGTTGCTCGCTTAGATCACACTCGAAGAAAATCAAATTTTGATAGTATATATTTTTTATCGCTTACAGCTGTGCGTGCTGGCGTATATTCTAGAAATACAATCTAAAATTGCTGTAGCTATTAAACAATAAAATTGTTAGGTTGCAATATCGAATCTATTTCACACATCAGTATTTCATATTTAAGTAAGCTAAAATACATATATATTATAAATTTAAAATCTCCATCAATTATCAATATGTTAACAGCATTACTATAACACAAACCTGCACATTCCAACTAAAGTGTTATATACACACGCTGATAAATAAGAAAAAGACGATTGTTCGCGTCATGGACTTTCATATAGTTTTACGCCTGGGGCGGTGTAACCTACACACGAATTTGAGTCTTAGTGAATTAAAACTAACGCGAAAAAATCATTGCAGTTTGAGATAATTACCAGTATTCAGGAATCGGTATAACTTTCTTTTCGTATCAATTACCGATTATTATTATCATAGATTAAAACACAATGGAAATCATTTCGATTCTGCGATAAATTGATTTGTTTTAGAAATAATCGGAAAATCACTAGTGATTAACTGAATAATGCCTCAATCAAGGCGTTGTCGTCGGACCCGTAAGAAGTCTCGCGAGCGTTCTCAGACGAGAGTCACCAAGTGCTAATCACTAATCACTGCTAAATACATAAGTAACAAATGCAATAGCAATGTTACTGGAGATATTTTGAAATCAATGCAGACCAATAACAGCTACCTTATTCCAAATCCAAAGCTATTTATGTATACCAAGCATATAAGTTAAAATTCGTTTTTACTAGTCCATGTCATTAGTGTAAAAACAATTACGCACTTGATGTGAATATGAGCAATTTTTTAATTTTTCTTCGCTCTTTTGTGCCAATTGTATAGTATCAAACCTAAGAAAAAAATGACGTTGTTTAAGGTTACTCCCTACTGTTTGTAATATTTATAGCAATTCAATGATATCTCCTGCCAATAAAAGCAGTTCCTGACCCTCATTGTAACTCTCATCAATCTTATTAACAATCGGACAGTCTTGACTACTGATTCGAGGTGATAACTTTGCTTGGAATGTGTAGTCACAAATGAACAGACAAATAAATATATTGTGAACCGATCTGAATTATATACGGTATCTCATTATCGTGGTTATCAGGAGCGATTCATCAATACAATTTCTTATGTCCAGTCAAGTTGGTAATAACTTAACATACACAGATTTTATTTTGATTCCTTGATACTGTTTGAACTTATTTTGTGTACTGTATTTTGCTGTTATTTTTAATCGAACTACAGATCAAATACAATTTGTACGATTTCGTATAAGATACTTAACAAACTGAAACAAAAATTAAATTTTCAATAAGAAACAAGTCTATTTGTTGTCTATACGTGGGATCATGATTTAGCAGTACTAAAGATCTCAAAAATCACCCTCTTCGAAAACGTTTTTTGACTGATTCAGCGATTCTGTTCTACAACGACTTAACGTGATTATATGTTTTAGATCCGCCAAGTTCGTTGTATACCATAATTAAAATTTTCTTGGTTTTAAGGAGGTGTTTACAAACTTCCCACAAGAGCATAATGTCGCTGTTTGGAGAACTTATACTGAAAATGACTTAGCATAAAACCTATGATTCATTACACCTTTATGTTTTTGTCATCTATTACGAACAAATAAATGTGGAGATGATGATATGATGCCCTCCGTGACGTCATCAAGTTCAAGAGTCCAAAACATTCCGTCCGCGACACAGTATTAATTTGTCGAAGCGCAAAGTTAAAAACAAAGTTTTTTATAATTCTCCATTAAACCTTGCGTTGTTGCTGACGCAGAGAACGAAGTATTTGTTTACGACGTTTGCAGACCTCGCGAAATTTCCGTGATTTGTGTCGTGATAAATTTTTTCCCGGAAGCAATATATATTTGCCAAAATGTCCCTGTTACTTATTCTATGTGTTGACCCAAGTAAAAATAATCCTTACATCTCCCTTGGCAATCTAATTTCCTTGTCATGGTGAATAACCAAATGTGTAATCAACGTTTTCGTTTATAATAATGAACAACTGTAGAGATAGGACTTCTTCTGAATTTTTTCTGTCGAAATGTTCTTATCTTTGCTTATTTTACTTATTTACTGTAACGGATTTCGTTGCGTTCAATTTAACAATTCGTTTCGTCACAATTAGAATATTTTTTTTAATCCAATACTCAATTGACTTTACAAAATTTACTACATTATAACCACTAGAAATGCGAATTTTGGAGTGAACAGAATAAATTAAACGACACCATTGCACGCAGAAAAATTTTCAAAAAATGAATGAATACTTCCGACTGTATACAGTGGTTTTAGGCAAAATTCGAAATCTTATATCACTTTAAATCGAGGAGATTATGTTGTTTCAAGTGCTTCATAGTGCGTGAGACATTGAAATAGTGACAATTACGTACTCACGTGAAATAGGAAATAAAAGAAATTTATGACACCTACAGTTAGACATGAACATGAGTGAATTATTTGAAGTGATGATGACTCTTAGCAGCGAGTTTAACAAAGATTTTCATTACCGGTAATTTATTTCCTTCTTATATTAAACCGGACATGACACATCAAACCGAAAATTGATAACCACTCAGGACATTTTCGTAATTAAGTAGAGGCGTGTATAAAAACTGGGCGTGTACAATGTCGTTTCATACTAGAAAACTCATGCAATCGAAGTTTGACGTCATGTCCGGATCGATTTTAAGTTATCACGTCAATTTAGTTAACGATAGAGATTATTGAAGATGGATAAGACAATCAATACGAATTTTATTTTAGTCTGTTTTATTATCTAACTGTATGCAGCAAAACACCAACTACGTTCTTAAAATAGAACATACAACGATGAATAACGTTATACTATCTGCCTAATTGACTCATAACAATAGTCACAAACGGAATTCTCAAGAGCGTTTATGAGTTGCGTTAACTTGTATCAGCCTGGCTTATACATGGATGAGATACAATTTCAGTAACTCACGATTATATTACTTCTTCTAATTCCACACACTAATGGATGGTAGCTCTCGTTCTAAATCACCTTTTAACCGATTTTTATCTGATGTACATATATATAGGTTTACTGACCATATAGAAATTACTACTATTTTTTTCTTCGTTTTTTTCTCTATTTAGATTTTTTTCTTCTACGATTGCTCACAAGATATTCTCATATCACGGACATAAATTAGAATACAAATAACGAAAAATCGTTCTATTAAGTTTAACCACAAATAAAATTTATAAAATATTGAATTATTAACACAATTGCATGCAACCAGCGAAGCGTCATTTTATGTTACCGAAAATTCGCAATAAATAGGCCAAATTGCGTTTCTGAAAACGTACACCTCTTTAAGAAAAGTTTATTTTATTGCATGGGCGATGATTTAAATTTACGAAAACGCCTCAGCTGTTCAATGATTCCATGAAAAGCCAATTTAATTTTTACCGAAAAACAAGTCCTCTCGCATTTAAACGAATAATAGCGCTTAAAAATCTTTGTTTTTACACTCCGAATAAATCACATTGCTGTATTTATCCTTTCTGATAATTTTTTATTTTTCTTGAAATTTAAAGTTCCACTGACATTTTTACTAAGATAAACATTTCCTCTTTTAAATCGTCATCACGAAAACGTGAACGTTTAAAAATAGTCAGAGCTTCTTATGCTTTTATGATGTAAATCTGTTTGTGAAATTGTATATAACAGAGGTTATATTTTTCAAACTGTTTGGTATGCATATCGGGAGTTTAAGAGTATTTTTATCAGAATCCCATACTTTCTTGAAAATAGATCATGAATTCAATTTTTACAAAATTTTACTCCGTAAATTTTAGTTTTCGCATGTGGTTCTTGAGGCAACTTTTAATTATTTAATGAGTAGTGTGTGGTAGTTACTTAGTACTTAAAGTGTGTTCAAATTCAATTTAGAAATATTTTTACTCTTAACTTACAATTAAAGTTGTTCTTGCGATTATTGCATTCTTTTATTATCACGTGGGATATCATCAGTGACCAATATGAATTTTACGACAAATATCTTTTTTATTCAATTCAAAGCATCCAACTCTTTTGGTGAACCTACTATTTTATTACAAACAAGATAACATCACATTTGAGGATGCCACCTAAACTGGCGTTAATTTAAATCTTTTGAAGAGAAATAATGAACGTTTGAATGACAGAACAGGCGCTTCGGTTTTATAAACTTATTTCACAATGATACTATGGCCTATTTATCACATTGATCAAACTATATGCTAGCGTTGTAGCTTTACCAGGCCAAGTTATTTACTTCAACTCTGGATTTAGGTATGCTGTATTGAAAATTAGAGTTGATTGTGCCTGAACGCTTTTATAAATACTTATTCTGAAATATCTGGAATAAAAGTCGACAACATATAGTACTATAATATATAGTGATCCTCTAAAGTCTAAACAGTGTATGTTTGTTTACAACTTTCTATGCCTAGTGTCATCCGTACCACTCGATTTTTCACGTAGTATACATGGCGTTAGATCGCAACATTGCGTGTAGGCACTTGACTACCAGTTCAATATAATTGGTGAAGATCCAAAAACTTATTTGTGAATTGAATTTGGCATGCTGATTAATACTCGCTATTTTCGATTCGTCATGAACCGAGTCGTAGCAAGCAAACTTTTTGGAAGATTCAATGTTCGCTTTCAATTTATTGATAAGATGACCGCCTCAAATTCAAATATATAACACGATTGTAGTTAGGTTCGCTTGAAATAAAAAAAAAGTTTTATACAATAATAAATAAAGATTAGCTATGGATCAAATTCGCCTTTTGCTAATTATTAAATACTACCATATGTGCTGCTAAATTCTTCTATCATTACCCGCTATCTTGCTAGTCTTGCTATCATTACAGATTGCCAACTAACTAATTTTTACGAACAAATGAAAATTATGTAAAACATGTTTCATACTGACTTAAAACTAAATCACAATACCAACTAAATATCATCTATCGTGCCTTCTTAAAATTTACCAGGTGCTACATATATACATAGCGTGAATCTACA